ATGGAATGAATGTACAACTAAAGTTCTCTCATGTAAACTATCATAAAATTCACAATAAAACATTAAAAAAAAGTTCATGGAAAAATGAAATTCAAAAATAATGATATCTTTTCATGACGTTTTGGAAGCCCCCTGGTATATACCAGACTTCATTTCACAACTTTTAGCAATAACAAGGCACAAATCCATAACTCTAAACCTATACCAGCACCTTTCCTGCACATACTATCCAGAGAAAAGTCTCTCAAGGAAGAATGCACCAATAGCACAAGACTCAACTCAGCACTGCCTAGTGAACCTTTCATTTGTGCTCAGACTTGAATGTACATATGTGGATTCTTTGTGATGTAATTTATAATGAAGAATATTTGTGAATATTAAGAAAGCATGTAATGGGAATATTCATTTTTTGCTGTCTGTAGTTATATAAACCAACACTTTAGAATAGACTTTGTTACAGGAACAAATAACACTGTGTTTTTGCTGAGGGTGATTTTTGCATTGATATGTAATGATTGCCTTTCCGCCTCAAGCCTAGCTTTCATGGAATGTATTAAAGATGTTAAGTTTGGGACCAATATAGAGAGCATAATGACATTTTTACTTAAGAAAAAAAAAACAGAAATCAGGTACTTAGCATACAGATTGTTCTTATATAAGCATCCAGAAAATTCTGGAAGGTTACCTACTAACAGAACATAGTGGAAGCCGCTAAGAGAATTAGATAAAGGAAGATAAAGTTGTTGCAATGAGTATAAACTACTTTTTAGTGGAGGGGGGAAAAAAAATGATACCAACAAACGATGCCAAAAACAGCAGGTAACTTAAGCAACAAGAGTTCTTAAGTCTGAGACAAGTACTTACCGGAAGATACTGGACAACAGTGCCATTCTGTTTTCCCACTGCCAGCTGCTTTCCTTTGGGGCTCCAGCACACTGAGTAAAGAAGGAAATGTTGCCAATTAAAAACTGAAGAAAACAGAGCAAACCAGTAAGATGCGTCACAAAACAGCTATGTGACCACCACTTCTCATTAAAGACAGGCTACACAGGCTGCAGGAACATCCCTACAGGGAAAAGTGAAAAAGAGAATCATCTTAATGGTGCAAACTAATCATGATTTATCACTGTACCATTTAATTGAGAGCTAATAATGCTATTTCAACAGAGTACTGCCCAGAGAGCTGGAAAGTAAAGAAATTAACTCTTTATAGATAAGACAAGAATAGTGAAAGTCTTCAAACACAGATCATTCCTATTTGTATTTCTAATGCCTCTCCCCTGAAGGTACAAACTTCAGAAGCATGACCCTCTTAAATCCTCAATTATTCTCAAAGACATAGTTCTAAATTGTTGTTGTTGTTGTTATGTGCCGTGGAGTCGTTTCCGACTCATAGTGACCCTGTACAGGGTTTCCGAGGCTGTAAATCTTTACGGGAGCAGAAAGCCTCATCTTTCTCCCATGGAACAGCTGGTAGTTTCGAACTGCTGACCTTGAGGTTCATAGCCCGATTCGTAACCACTACGCTACCAGAGCTCCTTAGTTCTAAATTAGCTGTACCAAAATATATTGCTTTTCCCAGAAAACTTAAGCATGCTTAAGTAAATCCTGTATGCTATTTGACTTCAAGGACATGAACTAAAGAAATGAAAAACACTCTCTCGATTTCTATGAAAAAAAAAAAAAGATCATTTTTATTTCCACAAATTAATTTTTAAATAGAGCAGCATTACTATAATGTAACTGCATGACAGTCTTTATTACCCACCAGATGTTACTGCTACAGAGGAAGGAAGAGCAGCACACACTTTCACCGTGTCTGTGACTTGTAGGACAGCTATACTGCCATCAGCCAGACAAATTGCCACCATGGAGGGGACAGTAGGGTTCCACTTCATATCAATCACCATGCCTCCTGCATCTTTTAAAAGCTTATGATAGGCAAATGGGCGTTTCTGCTGTTTAGCCTTTTAAAACAAAGCAAAAATGAATAAATACAGAGATACTAAATATTCAGAGGAAGTTGCTGAATATACGAGCTTTCTCAAATCATGCTTCACATTTCTCCACAGCAATGAAAAAGATTTAACTCAATCCAATAATCTATACTTGTTACAGAAAATTTCAATACAACTCTGAAAATGACAACATTTTAGCAAATTCAAGAAAAACTCCCAGGAGAATATACATATTAAAAATGACCAACAAAGAGCAGACACTATATTAAAATTGTGGCCCTGCTCCTTAATAGTGTTGGGACCTTGAGCAGTTACTTAAACTATTGGAGCCTGTTTTCTTCATTTACAAAATGAAGGTAGCAGTCTCAACTCATAAGGTTGTGGTAGGCACAATGAGGACAAAGCATATAAAGCACTCAGTACAGAGTGAGGCACACAGTATAGACACTCAATAGTATTGACTATTATTACTAACCTGCTTAAAATGGAAAACCACTGCATTAGAAGCCCAAAGACCTAAAGTATACAAATTGTATAGTCCCCTATTTCTCTATTGTTTTGGGTAGGTAGTCTAAAGCCTCCCTGGGCTTTGGTTGTCTCATGTGTAAATGAGAAGTGATAATATTTTATTATGAAATAATCTTTTGGAGTCCCTTCAATCTCAAAGAACCATTCTTCTATAATTATAAAGATTTTTTTTTCATCCTAAATCTAGAAAAAGACTTCAAAGGTCAACCTAAGAAGCTGCCAAGTTATGATCCAATACCAGGAAATCTCCTTAAGTTCTCATGTTGACAGCAGAGTCTTCCAGGAGCTTACCTCATATGAGAATGTGCGAACATCAAAAAAAGCAATAATGGAGCCATATTCACTCGACATCATGCACACGGAGAGTGTGAGGTGATCACAGCTCAGAGCCAGGTGATGTACAGGGAATTTCATGGGCACTAGCAAGCTTTGGACTTTATCAACTATGAAAACATTAAAAAAGACAAAGCAGAAAATGGCACGATCTAAGCACCGTTGCAACCCCTTAATCTAGATCTATATGAAATAATTTCTACATTTACAGAAACACACATACACACTTCCTGATACCTATTTATACATATATAATTTAAAAACATATATATATATAATATATTAAATATCTCAAATATCTCAGGGAGTCTTCTTCATACAACTTCTTCATGTAACTCCATACAACTTCCTCAAATAACCAACTGTGATCTCTGCCCTTGTTAACAGTAGTATTGCCATGTGCTTATATTCTTGCAACAATTCTTCAAATATTACATGTTATCATGTCAACTAAAAAATCATGCAACTTAATTCTCCTCATAGAAATCCAGGACACAAATTCTACTTAGCAAAAATAAAAGCATGGAAAGTTCTTCCTTCCTCTGAGTTTCAACTCAGCAAAAGCGAATTACAAAGGACCAAAGAAAACACCTAGAAAAATCCCATCTGGAACTTACTTGGGAACTCTTCTTGGGAAGGAGGGAAAAAGAAAATGTATGTCAAATATAGGAGTAAAAGCAGTTTTAATTTCAAAATTAGAATGATTGCTTAAGAAGGAAAATACATTAGCACTTTACCACACTCCTCTATTATGCAATATAAGTCAAGTAACTTACCAATTTTATTGGGATCGTCCCCAGGTTTATTTTGAATTAGAAGATTTTTAGTATGAAAAACATGCAATCCACTGACTCCACCAGCAAAGACCAGACCATATTTGTTGGACACAGCAAGCAAACTCGAGCGTTCCTTGGGCAACTCGTCAGGGGACTCAAAGATTTTCACCTTCTTCAGTGCTCTAAACTGAAAATCCTATTGAGAGGGATCAGAAAAGCAAAAAATTTCAAGGCCAGCAGCAAATTAAATCATGTCTGTCATTATATTATGAGACCCTATTCCAATACAACAAAAATATATAATCACTTAAGAACAAAGACAGTATGTCTCAGTAGCCTTTAAATTTCCTGTGTTAATTATCATGGTGCCTGGCACAGTAAGTGCTCTTTAATATTTGTTGAATGAAATACATTAAGTCTTTGACTACTCCAGCTCACACCAATCTTTTTTTTCCTGAATCCCTACTGAATGTGTTCTCTGAATCAATACTGTGTGTATTTTATTTATAATCTTATCCTATTTTGTGCTAAGAATGTATTGTCTCAGACCCAAAGTAGCATTTAATAGCTGTTAAAAATTCAAAGTATGAACCAACTAATGTGAACTCTAACTTCTAGTGCAGTCCTCAACAAATATATATTGAAATAATGACGACAGATAACCAAAGCCTAAGAATTGGTTTACTTCTACAAACACCAAACAAAATTCCACAATAGAAATGGAAATGTTGAGTCTCTTGGCCTTCAAAGCCTTTAAGTGAAACCTAGATTCTATGAGAACATTAAAAAAGCAAAAGCAAAATCCATAGCATAGCCTATTAAGACTTGATCCATCTACCTTGCAGTTTCATCTCTCAAAACTCCACTTCCCTCCAAAACTGCACTATTGCCAAGACTATAGCTACATTCCCTGCCACCCTATTTCCGCTTTCCTACAATCCCCATGCTCTTTAGTATCTTAAGGTCTTTAGATATCAATGATTGGCCTGGGAGCCTCTCCTGACCTCCTGTCAATGCATGACTCATGTCTTCCATGAATTTACCCACGCTTTCAATAAGAGTTTCATAAGCATACCAATCATTATGTTCAGTTGCACTGTACATGCTTTTTTCAAAAAATCCAATTCTAAATCTACCTTCAAGTCAAGGTTTCCACGAGTCTACTGTATGCTTACAACCCAAAAATATGGTAAACACCACAGACAGCCTTTCTTGACCTCCATTTTCTTTTCACATTAGATTCTTACATTTCATATATACCATACTGAATATAAGGAGCTCTGGTAGTGTAGTGGTTACGAGTCGGGCTGCCAACCGCAAGGTCAGCAGTTTGAAACTACCAGCAGTTCCACGGGAGAAAGACGAGGCATTCTGCTCCTGTAAAGATTTACAGCTTCAGAAACCCTGTGCAGGGTCACTATGAGTCGGAACCAACTCCACGGTACTTAACAACAACAACATACTGAATATACTAATTCCTTTTGGTTCACTGTTGAATATATACTAAAAGACTAGTGGAAATAACGTCTCTGTAGTGCTATAGGATAACCACAAGGTAGGCGGCTTAAACCCACCAGCTGCTCCTTGGAAACCCTATACAGGGTCTCTGTGAGTTGGAGCCAACTTGACAACACTTAACAGCAATAACTCCAATTGAGTATGCTGAACAAAACTCTCACAGCCTTTCAGATGAGACCATACTATGGTTTCATTCAGAGTATGAGCAAAAATTTCAGTCATTTTTTTTTGGAATTCTTATTCTGAAAATTCCAATTATTCTATTTCTATTCATCTCAAAGGTATAGTGGGGCAGTATGAAAATACACAGGGATGCTTTTTCTATTACAATCAGTAAACTCGAAAGGAGACTTCTTGTTGTGTGCCGTTGAGTCAGTTCGGACTCATAGTGACCCTGTATAGGGTTCCCAAGGGACAGGTTTTGAGCTTGAACCACTCACTTTGTGGTTCAAATTGACCTTGCAGTCCAGCACATTAACCTACAGTGCCATACCAGGACTCCAAATCTTTACAGAAGCCGAAAGTCTCATCTTTCTCTTACAGAGCAACTGGTAGATTCTAACTGCTGGCCTTGTTAGCAGCCCTGTTGATAATCCACCACACAGCTGGTGGTGGTGATGTGCCCATGTGGAGGTGGTTCCAGCTCATAGACCCTGCGTAAGGTTTCCGAGGTTGTAAGTTTTTACCAGAGTAGAATGCCTGATCTTTCTCCCAATCAAATTCGCTACCAGGACTCAGAAGGAGACTATCATCTGTGGTCCCCAAACCTTGCTTTTGTTCTGTCATCCTATCTGAGGAACATGACGCTCTGGCTGCTTGGCTCACCATAGCAGCAGCTCTCAAGAGGCAAATTATGTAGCTCTGTAGGGTCAACACTGAGTTATGAACCACAAGGTAGGCAGTTCAAACCCACCAGTTACTCCTAGGATCTGGTGGACTCAGGGTCGTTCTGAGTCGGATCCGACTCCACAGCACTCAAAAATTCTAAATATGGCATTCCATAAATTTGCTGTTCATGCAATCGCCTAAAATCTTCCTTCCAACTTATTCCCTTTCAGTCATTTGCTATTTAAATGAAACGCTGTTTGTTCTCTGTAGCCTCATTCTGCTAGAACAAGCACAATCATCCTAGGGAGCGATCCCTGTAATCTCCAACTTGTTCCTCATTTGGACCACTTCTCAGCCCCTTACTTTCTTGATTTTAAGTGAATTCCCGTGCCAAAATAGTCCTTTTCTAGTCAGCTAAAAGTTTTAAAGAATGGATGACCTTCCTCGGCTCTGCCTCATGCAAGCCTGGATCACCCTACCGAAGTAGTACAGTGAGAGTGAAGAAAAGAGGATCTTACTATTACACGCAACTAACTAGGATAACTCTCAAGAGAAGTGTACAAAACCGACTAGGGCCGAATAAACTCATTCTGTGGGGCTACCACGCAGGCAGAACCGCACAGTACTCCAGAACAACGCTGGTGAGAACTCAAAACGCAGTAAACTGTTCACGCCAGAGGCGGGGCATCCGGCACCCATGCTTCGCCGTTCAGCGGGGCTCCATGACAATGCTAGGACTAAGCGACGGAGGGAGCCCCTGGCCAGTATCTGACCTTCATCTCCCGCTCGGGAATCACTGCATCCATTTCGTCTCCCATCGCACGGCACTCAGTTGGTAGAAGGAGCTGCCGCAGCCGCCCTCAACCTTACCCACGGAGCACAGGCCGCTCCGAGGGGAACTTCCTTCCCTCAGCTACAGTAGCGCGCCGCGGAACTCGCATTTCCGGCGCGTTTTGATGATGCCACACGTCCCAGTCTACTACGTAATCGAAGGAAACAGGCGTTAGACTGAAGCCGCGCGCTACCCTGGCTGCCGCTTCCTATTGGCCCGCTCAGGCTAAGTAGGGGAAGTGGCTCCAGGACCCGCGCTCTGAGTCCTGGAGCATCTGGAAACTGTCGGTGCGCAAGCAGCGTCTCTGCGGATAAGTGTGGCACCTTCAGCGCCTCGTGCCTGACCGCACCAAGCTCATTGCCCCGTCGAAACCTAATAATAAGCCTTGGATGTAGCTATTGTTCCACATGCAGAGATGTCAGGAACTTGACAGATATTTCCAGGGGTGGCTGTAAAGGCTTGGTGGAGGAGAAAAAGGGAAAAGAGGTTCAGAAAATGGGTAAGTGGATCCTGCCTCAAAGGAGAGGTTAAAGGGCACCAAAGACCAGCTTTGTTTACTCCTTTCAAGAGCCACATCCACCTTCGGACACAAAATAAATTGTGCAGATCCCTTTAGATATGCTATCTAATTTAATCTTCCAGACATCGTATCCTCCTAGGGGTATTATTGCCATTAAATGAGAAAGCTGAAACACAGTGATGTTAAGAAAAGCCCCTTAGTGATCTCTGCCAGAAAGTGACGGCAGGATTACAGTTCAGATGATCTGGATATGCTGATGTTGTTAAGTACAGTGGAGTCGAGGCTGTAAATCTTTACGGGAGCAGAAAGCCTCATCTTTCTCCCGCGGAACCGCTGGTAGTTTCGAACTGCTGACCTTGAGGTTGGCAGCCCGACTCCTAACCACTACACTACCAGAGCTCGTTGGATATGCTAATAACTATTACAAAGTCATGGAATCCTGGTGTGGAGATATGGGTTAATGTGCTAGACTGTAAAGTCGGTTTGAACTACAAGGTTGGTGATTCAAGCTAACCAGTCGCTCCTTGGAAACCCTCTGCAGCGTTGCTATGGGTTGGAACCGACTCGACGGCACTTAACAACTACACAGTTATAGTGTAGAAAAGGGGCTCTGGTAGCTTATGGGCTATAAGTCAGGCTGTTATCACTGGAGAACAGAAAACCCTAAACAGGGTCTCTGAGTTGGAACCAACTGGATGGCTTTTAACAACAGGACAACTTATGTAACAGATCCTGGTGAGCATATTCTACCACAAAATGTAGGTCTTTAGCAAAGTGTTATCTGTTCCATTCCTGCTTCTCATTTGTAAAAGATTGATGGAACTATCTCAGGAAATGATTGTGAGTATTAAAGAAGTCTGGCATGTTACTAGCTAAATCTGCTGAATTTGCTGAGCTCAAAAACCATTTTAAAAATAAATCAATCCATGGAGCAGCTGGAGACTTTAGATCCAGAGAGGGAAAGTGACTGTGTGCTGAAGACCTGGGGGGTATGGGGGAAGGATTGCATGGAGGGGATTGTAACCATGGCAATGAGACCATATACGAGAGAATGAATGTAAAACTAATGTTCTCCCATGTGAACTATCACATAATTCACAATAAAACATTTAAGAAAAAAATAAAAAATCAATCAATCAATCAAGACATTGCTGTTTGCCTGATTTATTTCCAATCCGGAGAGATGATCTTCGACATCACGCACACTCACCGGCACACACATACTTCATCTACCTGAATTTGTCCAACAAACTCCTTCCTTTTGAGTCACAGGGACAAAGCCATAATAGGCAATCCCCAAATTGTTGGTTACATTACAGATAGATTTAATCTTTCAGAAATAAAACAATTGAGCTGCCGAGAAGCTGAGCCCTTAGCCAGAAAAGTATCCTAGAGCCACAACCTGAAATACGTGCAGACTCCCTTTCCAAGAAGCACTGTTGAGATCCTTTCCCCTCAGGGTTGAATTCTAAGAAACAATGAAGGAACTGGTGGGGTTTCCCAAAGTAACTCACACCTAATGAGATAAACACCACCCCTCCTCTGCCATTTCAAGCTGGAAACACACCAGCTAACTTGATTTCCTTAAGGAGGCTTCTTGTGGTCTTGTAAGCTGTGGACCCCACTGAAATAAGCCAGGTTGGTTCTGTCTTCTCAGGAGAAATAGGTACACTGAATATGATGGATAGTTAGAAAGATGGTACCTTTCTCAAGGGTCCCAGCCTATCCCCAAAGCAGAGAAACGGTAAAATGTGAGGTCAGGGGCAGAAAAAAAAGCAGAGGAGGGAGGTGAGGGATTTTACATTTACAGGAAGGAATGCTTTTCTGGGTTTAAATTTCAACTAGCTCTGCATTTGAACGACTTCTTAGGCTGAAGATCAGTCAGTCATGGCCAAATAGCTCAACTGGTTGAGACCTGTGGGCTAGCCCAACCTGGCCATTTCTCTATCCCCTTCCTGTACTACCTTACTCCTCAAGCTGCTGTAGGGACATCACCATAGGCTTTTGATTATACGTCACTAAGGAGCCACAGAGAGCTTGTAAAGGCTTCTCCAAAATTTTTGCCCAGTCTTTGGGTCTAGTTCATTCCCCTAGGATTTCAGGGCAGTCATCCCTTTGTCCTTCCTTTCCTAAAACTCATCTTGCACATCCTTCTCTGGGTCTGACTTCCCCACTAGACTCTCAATTTCATGAGTCTGTCCTATTTTACAGCTGGATTCTTAGCTCAGAGCAGGTGCTTAAATAAATATGTTCAATGAATAAATGCATGAGGAGAGGTAAAGGATTCCAGAATATAGTTTAAAACCCGCTGCTCAGTTGAAAAGGGGGTTGAGTTTGACACCGTCTTACATAAGTTTGGAGAAGCAATCCAAAGCTTGGTCAGGAGGCTCTGAGGCAGGCAGAACTGCAGAGGTGGGCCTGGGCCTTATATAGACCATGCTACTGATTTGCAGGTGCTGGAGAATTAGCCCTGGCCTAGGGCCTTCCGGGAGTCCTTGGTTTGGCGCTGTGGGTTAATGCACTGGGCTGCAAAGTTGGCTTGAACCACAAGTTCAGCAGTTCAAGCTCACCAGTTGTTCCCCAGAAACCCTGTACAGGGTCACTATGGGTTGGAACCAACCAAAGGGCCTTCAGAGCAAGCAATGTCGTCCTACCCAAGTGTTGACCCAAGAGACTGCCTTTCCCCATCCCTTCTATGATTCCAGAACTGACAGAGGCAACCCAGAGCAGAGATTAGGCTTGGGCAGGGAATCAGAAAACCTGAGCTGCGGTCCAGACCCTTCCATCCCCACATTAACCCCTTGATGTTTGGGCAAGGCACTTAATTGCTGCAGACCAACCAGTTTTCTCACCTGAGACATGGGAGGACTGGCCAGCTACCCTGTAGGATGGATTGGGACCTTTAAATCCTGTGAGTCCATAATAAAGGACAGAGGTAGCCCCAATCCAATCCTAAAGCTCTCGGTTTTGGGTAATTTGGAGAGATCCTTAGAGAGGCAGTGGAGACAGCACATGTCAGAATAAAATGGAAGGGCTTAAAGCTTATAACACATGGTCAATAAATATCTGTTGAATAAAATGTGAATGGAGTGAGTGGGCTGGGATGGCAAAAGGCGGAAGAGTAGTCAAATTTAAGGCAGATTTGAATCAGAAAGGCAGCTTTAGTTTCACAGTGGGATGGACTCATTTTATTCCTGATTCTCCTTTCCTATTTCCTTCAACATCCTTCCTAAAATGCCCTTGGCCTCACCTCTCTCCAAAGCCCTTTCCTGCCCCAACCAGGGTCTGGGAGGTTGCACCCTCCCACTAAAAGCTGCCTGTAAAGGTGTGGTCACTGCTGGGGGCATGGCCAGGTTTCTACGAGTACCATCTTGCTGTTGTTATTAAGTACCATCTAATCGGTTCACACCCATAGCGACCCTGTGTAGGGTTTCCGAGGAGCGGCTGGTGAGCTTGAATTGCTGACCTTTGCAATTCAAACCGACTTTACAGTCTAGTGCATTAACCCACAGTGCCACACCAATTTGAGAAGGACTCAAATGCCAAGCCCCTCTTTCCCTCCTCCAGTCACTCACCACTCATTGAGGATAAAATGCAGAGATTGAGGAGGGCAGCAAGGGTGGTAGGACATGGTATGGCCGGAAGGAAACCAGGCTAAGCCAAGAACACTAGAAACACAGAGCTGTCCAAGGAAGTCTTGCAGCCTTGTCCCAACTCCAGCGCTTTCTGGAATTGGGCTGGGTCCTCACCGGAGCCAGGCCAGTAAGCCTGAACTCAGAAACTTCCTGGGAAGCACCAGCTCCTAGCCGCCCTGACCTAGCTCTGGCCTTCCACTGTCCCTGTGGTTTTTGATTTGATATCTATCAGTCCTTCTTCAGAAGGAGGCTGGAAGGATGGAAGAAGAGAGGGAGAGGATCAAAGGTTCAGGATTCTACCATCCAGAATCCCTTTAAGGCAGGTAATTTGTGCTTTACAAAACGATCACTGATTCTGTCCAATTAAAGAAACAAACCCACAATGACCAAACAAACAAGACAAATCACAATGAGTTAAGAAGGCCAGTGAGCTCTGAGGAAAGGAACAGGAGTGTAGAGGCTAGGGTGGGAAGGGCCAGGTCCAGGTGGGGTTCTCCTCAGGGCAGGCTGGCAATGTCTCTCTCTGGAGGGGGGCCAGCTGGCTTGGGACTGTTCTCACTGGCTTTTCCTTCAAACATCATGACTCTGGTTGGGGGTAGAGAAAAACAAAATAAAACAGAAAGGATTAGGACTCTTTCTAGTACCCAAAGAAAGATCATCCAGTTCACCCTCAAGCCTATAGAATCCTCAACAGAATGCCCTTGAATCCATTTTCTGGTAGGATCACATGGAAACCCACAGAAGGTATTGCTAGGCCCATTGTACAGAGACAAAACTGAAGCAGACAGTGGTGACTTGACTCCACAGAACTCTATTATGTACTCCCAAGCAGAGGCAAGAGAAGACTCCAAACATCTGACCATAGGCCATGCACCTTCCCTGCCCATGCTGCCTGGCGTAGGTAGGACAAGGTGAAGCCATGGCTCTATTGACTGTTGTGTAGTGCCCTGTAGTTCCAGCTCATAGGGACTCTGCGTAGGGTTTCCAAAGAGCAGCTGGTAGGTTTGAACTGCTGCCCTGGGATTTAGCAGTCCAGTGCTTATCCTACAGCACCACACCAGGTCTGCTTGTTGTTACAGTGTTGTTGAGTTGACTCAGACCCATAGCGACCCTGTATAGGGTTTCCGAGGAGCAGCTGGTGAGCTTGAACCACCAACCTTGCAGTTCAAATGGCTTTGCAGTCTGGTGCATTAACTCAGGTCTGCATGTTGTTGTTGTTGTTAAGTGCCATCGAGTCGGTTCCGACCCATAGCGACCCTGTGCAGGGTTTCCAAGGCTATAAATCTTTATGGGAGCAGAAAGCCTCATCTTTCTCCCATGACGCAGCTAGTAGTTTTGAATTGCTGACCTTAAGGTTCGCAGCCCGATTTGTAATCACTATGCTACCAGAGCTCCTTCCAGGTCTGCTTGTTGGTGTTAAGTGCCATCGAGTTGCTTCCAACCCATAGCGACCCTGAACAGGGTTTCCGAGGCGGTAAATCTTTATAGGAGCAGAAACCTCATCTTTCTCCCGCAGAGCAGCTGGTAGTTTCGAACTGCTGGCCTTGCAATTCACAGCCCTATTCGTAACCACTACGCTACCAGAGCTCCTTTCCAGGTCTGCTTAGGAGAGCTTAAATATAAACCTGGTCTTGCTACTGCCCTACTTAAGCTAACTCTGGACTCACTGCTGTTGAGTAGATTCTGACACACAACAATACTATAAGGGCAAAAAAGAACTACCCCATAGTATGCCCAAGGCTGTCAATCTTTACAGCAGTAGACTTCCACATCATTCTCCCATGGTGCAGTTGGTAGGTTTGAACTGCTGACCTTTCAGGTCACAGCCAAGCACTTTAACCAATGCACCACTAAGGTTCTCTACTTAAAATTCCTCAAAATGCCTTTTCACCTTCAGAAATGCCCCCACTACTCTGAAAGTAAAGTCTGGGCAGTAAAGGGCAGGGGCTCAGAATGTAACCTAATACGAAAAAGTCTGGACTAGACCCCTAGTCCTATTACCTACCAGCTGGGTGACTCAGGCAATACATTCTCTGATCCTCTGGTTTCCATCTGGAAGTGCGGCTGCTAAAAAGGCTTACATCCTAGGATTGTTCTAAGTGTCCATGCTCATGATCCTGGTTTTTACTCTTCAGCATCTGTTCTCACTCCCTGGCTGGTCCCTTTCAATCTCCTGGCTTTCAATCCCACCTAAAGGCTGACAGTCCACAAACATCTGATATGTGAGCCCCAGTCTTCCATATCCAGTTCCCCCCTTGACTTCTCTCTGTGGATGTCTAATGGGAATTGCCAATGTGACACATGGAAAACTGAACTTTTAACTCTGCTCTTCCCAGTGCCCCCTCACCCACGCACTTCCACCCCACCCCCCAGTTTCTCCCTCTCTGCAAACTGTACCATCATCCCAGACCTTGAATCATCTGATTCCCCAATCCCTCCAGCTCCACTTTCAAAATCAATCCCAATTCCAAGGATTCCTACCACCTCCATGTAGCCTTCCCAGGCTGAGCAGTCTTATCTCTTTCCTAGACTGTCTCCCCGCCTTTTAAAAGTCAACCACAGCAAAAAAATAAAATAAAAAGTCCATCCCAGTACAGAATCCCCGAAAATAAAAGTCAACCCCAGCACAGAATCTTCCAAGGGCATCTCTCCACATTAATATAAAATCCTAAATCTGGCCATGGCTTAAGTCTGCAACTTTATCCTCTCACTCACTGGCCACCAAATTGTTTCTTGAGCATACAAGCATGATTCTGCCTCAGGGCCTTTGCAAAGAGTGATTTCCTCTGCCTGCTTGCTTTTCCCTTAATCTACACATAGCTCCCTCCCTCTTTTGCTCAGGGTTTAGTCAAAAGTCCCCTTTTTTGTGAGGATTCCTCCCCTGCCCTACTTTCCCATCCTTCGCTGCTCTTCTTATGCAATTTATTTTTCTTTGTAGCACATCATCACAATCTGTTTGTTGTTATTTTACATACTGCCTATCTCCTGTCTCTAGAATGCAAGCTCCATGAGGCCAGTGCCTCATGTGTCCCTAGTACCTAGAATAATCCCTGGTACATACTTTATGCTCAGTAAATATTTATTGAATTAATGAATGATAGATGTAAAACGTCAATATCTAGACTAATGTCTGACACATAGTTGTTAAGTAAACCGACCCACTAAGCACTAGGTGTCATTTTGAGAGCACATCACTATTAATGCTATCAGCTGGCCTCTCAGGTCCTGTGTGGTCTGACCTTGATGGTGTTCCTACACACACCCCTTGCCCTGTCCCACTCCACACTAAAACTGTCGCCAGACTGAATTGTGGGTTCAGGAACAAGTTATTCAGCCTCCTCGGGCCTCAGCTTTCTCCTTCACACAATGAGACTTACAAAAAGTTACTGCTACAGCACATGTATTCAGCCAGTCGCTCGGCTACAGGATTTACATGTATAATTTCCCTTGCAAGGTATGTAGTAATCTGACCATTTGGCAGATAAGGAGACTGAAGCTCAGAAAGATTAAGTATATTGTCCTGCATGAGGGTGAGAGATCTACTGGTTAGGAGATGGCCACGGTGCCCCCTAGCTAGCAACCTCTCTACATGAGAGTGACTTTGCCTTCAGATCCTGGGAAAGGTGCGAGGGAGGTACTCACAGCTTGAGGACAGCCGACCGTTTCCCCAGCATCATATTCACAAAGTCTCTGTAGGAGATGGTCTCACTGACCCCACCCGTCACCTCTGAGATCATCTTCTTCATCTCCAGGTGGGTCTTGGGGACCCCAAGCTTCTCCATCATCCTCTTTAAAGACATCAGGTCTGCCAAAGAAGGAGATGCGGAGGGTGGGGTGGGGGTGAGGAAGCAGTTGTGTTATGTGTAGACTGGCTGCTGGGGCTGAGCAGGAGGACATTGGGGTGATGTCCTCATGGGAAAACAAACCCTTCACACTTTCCCTGCTCTTTTTGGAGGCATTACAGACTAATGGTTAAGGACAGAGACTTCTAGAGTCAGGCACACACACAGCTCTGCTGTTCCTGAATGCTGGTGGTCCCTGAGTGGAGCAAATGGTTTGCATTAGACTACTAACCTAAAGTCTGGTGGTTTGAATCTACCCAGCAGTGCTATGAAAGAAAGGCCTGCTATTTCCATAGAGATTACAGCCATGAAAACCCGATGGAGCAATTCTACTCTGTAACGCAGGGGGTCGTCATCAGTCCATTGACTTCAAGGCAATGAGTGTGGGAGTGTTTTATGTTTTTTTCCTGGCTGTGGGTCTGGGGTACACTACTCTGGTCCTCTAGATCTCCACTTCTATCAGTGGTCAGTGGCTGATGGGATCATTCAGACGAACTAGTTCATGAAGCACCTGGCACAGATTTAGAGTCATTGTTGTTAGGTGCCCTCTAGTCAATTCCAACTCATGGTAACCACATGTGTGCAGCAGAGGATTGCTCCACAGGGTTTTCAAGGCTGTGACCTTTCTAGAGCGGTCCTCTGAGATGCCTCTTGGTGAGTTCGAACCATCAACCTTTTTGCTAGCAGTTGTGCACTTACCCATCTGTGCCAGTCAGTGATTCCTGAGGAGAGCCATAGTTATGCCTTACAACTGTTACGGCTCTCTTCTGCAAGGTTGAGCCACTGCCCCCAGCTAGAAGTCACTGCCCAGAGGAGGCAATAAAAGTCCTTCTCTAAGTGCCAAAAATATCCTACAGAGCAGGAAAACCAACAAAATAACAAAATTCAAGAACAAGGAGGCACCCAAAAGTCACTGCACCCTGAGGAGACACAGCCTTTGAGCTCCCTACTCCTGCCAAGATCTGAGGCAATTTCCTTCAGCTTGTTCTTCAGCGAACAATGGATTAGCAAGGGAGGTTGGAGAAGGGTTGGGAAGGGGGTCTGGTTTCAGGTCCGAGGGGAGTGGTGAGGAAAGTGGGCAGAACTGAGGCCAGACCCCTGGGTGCCAGGATGTTCAGGGCATTTCAAAGAAAGTTGGGCAGTGTTCTTTAGGAAGAAGTGAAAGGTCTCCCCAGCTGCCGGCCAGCCTCTCAATTAGTGTGACCTTTCTGAAGGGCAATTTGGCAAGATGCTTCAAAAGCCTCTGACCCACAACTTCTAATTCCTGGGATTTACTCTAAAGAACTAATTAGCAACACGGACAAAGATTCGTGTACAAAGCTGTACTTCTTAGAATTATCAATAATAGTTAAAATTGAAAATCATCTAAGTGCTTAGTACTAAGGCGTTGGTCAAGTAAATTATAATTCACTACAATGAAATATATTATGCAGTTATTAATTTCAGAAGAAAGATGAATACTGTCAAAATACTCACAATATGTTGTTTAAGGAGGTTGTAAAATGACGTGTAAAACAAGACCTGTATATTTGTGATTGTTGTTTTTAAGTACCATCGAGTCGGTTCCAACTCACAGAAGCCCTGTAGAGGGTTTCCAAGGAGTGGCTGGTGGGTTTGAATCACCAGTTAGCAGCCCAGTGCTTAACCTACAGCGCCACACCAAGACGCCACATATTTGTGATTAAGGGGGAAAAAAAGTGGAGGGATGTAAATCAAAATGTTTATAGCTGTTGTTTCTAAGATATGACATTATGGATGATGTATTTTCCATCTTTGGGTTTTGCTGTATTTTCCAATGTTTTTTCATTATGAATTCATTTTTACTTTATACTCAAGAAAAAAATTTTATAAAGAAAAAAGGATCATAATATTTAAAAGGAAGAAGAGAGGAGAAAGTAGGAGGAGGACCAGAAATACCAGTGACAGCAGTGACAATATTGTTAAGGGAGAAATGGAGGAGAGAGCAGGACATACTCAGAAATCAAACCCTGGGACTGGACCCTGGGGCTACCACTTAAACAGGTAGCTCCAAGCAAAGTATTTCCAGCTTTCGGAGTCTCTGTTTCCTCATCTCTAAAACGGAGACAATTACACCATCCCAACCATCAGATACTGGTAAAGATCAAGATGTGGTCCTCCCACCAGGGCATACATGCCACAGGGCAAGACCTTTGTCACTCCAGTGCCTAGATAGCAGAATGCAGTAAGGCTCTATTGACAGGGGGAATAAATGTATGTAAGAGCATTCTGTCAGCTGAAGGACACAGACAAATGGACAGACAGGCTTGGGAACAAAGGACATGTGGCCTCGTCCACCTTTGAATGGCCTGAGTCATTCCAGCCCAATGTCCCTGGAGAAATGGGTGGGAGGTGGAGGTCTGGGCAGATAGGTGGGGCGCAGTGGGGAGAAAACATACTTGAGGAAGGAAGAGGATCAGCCTAGCTCGGCTAGCCTGGCATTTGGGGGATGCTTCATTATTTGTGTCATACTCATGTGACAGCTGTGCCCTCCTCCCCCTCATCATGAAGGTGGGTCAGTGGGGCTCTCCAGACCTTCACACCTAACAAGCCCCTCCCCAGACACACAATCCTCAAAACCTCACTCACCGATCTCGCCTTCATTGTTCAGGTCAAACTCCATGTACTTCTCTGGAAATCACAGAATAAAAGCTGTCGTTAGCTTTGGAACAGGATCACTCCCTGCAAGGACTCAGTACTTTGCCTTGGGGGTGACTGGGAACAGGGTCCTTTCAGAGCCTGAGCCACCATCCTCCCCCCCCACAAAGGGGGGCTGTTCCTAGCACAAGTCCCATCATCTCAGTCATCGTCTCTGGAGAAAGAGCTCACCCTGCCAACATCCCTCTCCCCTGGGGGAAAGGTGGCCAGAGGTCAAAGTTGACCTCAACCCAGCAGGTGGGTTCCTACTAGTGTGGGCTTCATATGAATCAGCTGGAAAGGGACTGTGATTTTCCCAGCCCTGGAGAGTCAGATGCAGTGAATCTGGGAAGGGCAGACGGGAGCTGGGATTGATGCATTTTCAAAGTACTGCTGCCAGGCAGATGGGTGTGGGAATCACTGATTTCAGAAGTCACTGTGGATCTGATCCTTTTGGGGTATCATGGACACCACTGAGAACCAAATGCTCTTCCAGAAGAAATGCCTGTCCTTGTCCACAAATGGTACATACAGTTTCCAGGGGTACACAGAATCTACCCCCCAAGCCCCACCTATAGACTTTGAGTTTTGAAATTCCCGGTCAAGAGGTCCAGGAAAATGGCACTACCGAGGGAAGACACTCAGCGCAAGGGGCTTGGGGTAGTTAGTATGTGCAAACAACCAGGTGGCCTGGGGCAGGTTTCCCATGCCAAAGAAGGGGGAATGGGGCTCTTCTTATAGTGGCCTGGGGACCCCATGGGATCTTCACCACTATCTGTCCTCCAGCCTCCAGGTCGCCTTGCCCACGATCCCGTCCCCTCAGTTCCACTCCCACTGGCCTTGCTTTTCCTGACACTCCATACCTGCTTCTGCTCTTGCTGCCTTCCCATCAGGAATGCTTCTCCAAGTATTTTTAGGTCCTCTACCCAGGCCTTCAAGCTCCCTCTTGCCCTTTCTAAGTGAGCACCCCCCACCCCTGTCCTTCTCATCCAAAAGCCTCTACTACCATAGAAAGCACTCCTTGCTCAAAGCGACCCCACTAGAACACAAGAACCTTGGGTCCAGGTTTTTTGATGTGTTCGTGACTGTCTCCCCAGGTCTACAATGGACCCTGTCAATAGTGAAAATCAAAAGCCACTGCTCATGACTAATAGCAACCCTACTGGACAGAGTAAAACTTCTCTGTAGGGTTTCCAAGGCTATAAATCTTTACGGAAGCAGACTGCCTGATTTATCTCCCACAGAGGGGCTAGTAAATTCAAACGACCAACTCTATTGATTAACAGCCCAAAGCTTACACCAAGGTTCTTGTGCATAGTAAGTGCTCAGTAAAACTGGGTGGACACCAAATGAATGAATGATTTGAAAACTTCTATAGATGGCACTTAAGGAGTTCTGGTAACGCAGTGGGTAAGAGTTGGGTTGCTAACTTCAACGTCAGCAGTTTCAAAGTTTCTCAGAAGAAAGATGAGGCTTTCTGCTCCTGTAAGGATTTACAGCCTCAACAACCTTATGCAGGGTTGCTATGAGTCAGGAACGGACTCCACAACACACTACCACCACCATAGTTGGCACTTAACAACAACACAGTCCCTTTACAGAACCCTGGTGGTGTAAGGTCAACAGTTCAAACCTGCCAGTGGTTCCACTGGAGAAAAGGCTTGGTGATCTGCTCCCATAAGCGCTGTTGTTGTTGTTAAGTGCCGTCAAGTCAGTTCCACCTCGTAGCAACCCTGTATAGGGTTTCTAAGGCTCTATATCTTTGCAAGAATAGAAAGCCTCATCTTTCTCCCACAGAGCAGCTAGTGGGCTCAAACTGCTGAACTTGTGGGTCAAAGTCCAGAGCTTATCCTACAGAGCCACTGTGCTTTCCCTGTAGACATTACAACCTAGAAAGTCCTATATTGTTTGTTGTTGTTTCTAAGTGCCATAGAGTTGGTTCCTACTCCTAGTGACCCTGTATAGAGTTTCTGAGGAGCGGCTGGTGGGTTTGAACCTCTGACCTTTCAATTAGCCGTCCAGTGCTTATCCTACAAAGCCCCACCAAGACTCTACTACCCTGGTGGTGGTGGTTATGTGCCGTGGAGTCGGTTCCAACTCATAGCTACCCTGTATAGGTTTTCCGAGGCTGTAAATCTTTACGGGAGCAGAAAGCCTCATCTTTCTCCCTTGGAACCACTGGTAGTTTGAAACTGCTGACCTTAAGATTAGCAGCCCGACTCATAATCACTACACTACCAGAGATCCTTCTAGTACCCTATAGGGTAGTAATGTTCTATCACATGGGGTCACTATGACATGCAACCAACCTGACAGCACATAACAACAGTCCTCTTCCTTCCAAGGTAACTTCTTGTGGTCCCAACTGACCAGGCCCTATCCTACAACCCAATGATGTCAAGGGGAGTAGACATTAGACACCTGTCACCTCATCCCTACTCTCAGAGGTCACCTCTAGAGAGTGATCTTGATGGTATCCTGACAGACAAGAATGGATTGCTTCCCCTTCACATGGCTCTCCTAGGTACTGAGAAAGGATAAGGCTAGGGTGTCTTTTAATGGGTAAGAGGAGGGACTTTGGAGCCAGATGAGCATGGGTTCAAGTCCCAACTCTGCTATAAGTGAGCTGTGTAACCTCTAGAAAATGGCACACCCTCTCTGAGCCTCTGTTTCTCTCCTGATAGAAATATCCCTCTTGGGTGAGCTGAGGTCATTCAGAGAGCTCACAGTGCAGCACATAAAGTGTGCTTCCATGTGGTCGTTACTCAGCAAATGCTGGCTGTTGTTAGTAGTATAAGTCTCAGGTGTCCTACTACCCAACCAACCAGGAAGCTTCTTGAGGAGTACTTGGCCAGTTTTTTGTCTTGTAGCAGGGAGGATGCCCACATTGCCAAGCTGCTGGGAGGAGCAGTGCACCCGCTATGGAGTCCAGGACTCCGAGCCCCGCATGCCTGACCCGGCCAGGAAAGGTGGGCCTGCCTCCACTCCTTATGTGCACAGCTCCTCTCCTATCAAGCCGCTGGCTGGAAACCAAGAGCCAGGGCCCCAAACAGAGAGACCTTTATGCTGCCTCTCTCCCCACACGGGCTCCCAGGCCCTGTTTTCTTTTCAGCCCGTGCTGCTGGGATTCAATGGGCAGCAACTCTGCACTCCCCTGCCCCACTGTGGTTACATACAAACGTCCATTCTCCACAGGGGCTACACCGCAGAGGGGGAGAGACAAGGGTGGTTCACAAAAGACTGATTGTGTGCTGGGGGGAGTAGTCAACCTGAGTCCCACTGGGCAGCTGGGGAAGAAAGGGGCAGGCCAGGGACTGCAGGCTGATGAACAAGGGAGGCCAGGAAGAGGGACATTCTAGATGAAACAGAGTCACAGTTTGACTGTGTGAGACTAAGGAATCAGGTAGACAAAGGGCTGAGGGTCAGCCCAGCTTTCAAGAATGGTAGGTCAGCCAGACCCAGCTTACCCTTAAAGGCAGCGAGCTTTTCCGGCAGGTTTTCTTCATCGCTGTACTTCTGGTCACAGAGAAACTCCTAGAGAGGTGAGAAGGCAGTGCTAAGGGAAGGGGTAAGCAGGCTCACTGCTCTATTCCTCCTCTCCCCTAGGCTTGGCTAGGCAAGGCAACAGGCCCCATTGTTTGCCCTGGCTCCCTGTCAACCCCTGGAGAAGGCTTTGCCCAGGCCACCCTGTGGGGAGGAAGTTTCTTACTGACTTGGGCTGAGGTCTGAGGGTCTTCTCTCGAAGACTAAACATTAGATTATGGGAGGAGCGACCTGTACCTCTCCCTCAGGGGACCCTGGCTCTGGGATCCATGGAGCTGTAAGTTCCAATACATGCCACCTTCCTAGGTATGTGATCCTGAGACAATTAACTCACCTCTCTGTCCTTCTATTGCCTTTTGTGCCAAATGTAGCTCCTTCTGGGGACATGAATGAAGAATCATATAAAAGGTGAATACCCTTGGCACATAGTAAATGCTCAATAAAGAGCTGCCATCATTATTTGTAGCCTTTGCTCTGGCCAGAAAAGGATTGCACAATGCTTTGGGTAAATGTTCCCTTTCACCTGTTTCCTTATCCCTGGCCCACCTGCCCCTCAGAACATCAAGTGAATTCTTTCAGAACCAGATGGGTGGAGCCACAAGACACCAACAGTAGCCTCCAGGGATGAAGTCTGTGCTCAACACCATATTATCTCTTCCCCTTTCCCTGAAGCCCCATGAGGTAGCTATTTTTTTACAGATAAGTCCAAAGAAGCTCACATAACCAGAGTTTCAACTCAGTTCCATCTCATTGGTTGTTGTTATTGTTGTTAAGTGCCATCAAGTTGGTTCTGACTCATAGCTGGTGATTTTGAACCACCGTCTCAATAGAACACGTATTCTTGAGCTCACCACGTAGAAATGAGAGACTGTGTAAATCCATCTGATTTAGTCTTTGGCCCTAAAGCAAACAGCTACCAATAAGTGAGCACCTACTATGCACTGGCACTGTGCCAGGTATCTTACATGCATGTTGTCATCTTTAGCAGTTTTCAAACCTGTCCTGAGATGGGGAAACAGAGGGCACTTTCCATCCTAGCCCTTCCCAAATATATTCTGGAATTCTATGAGTCTCCTTGATTCTCTAGATCTCATTATTAGGCCAAGGAGATATGGGCCATTACTCTTCCATCCATCTGTTCATTCAACTTCTTTATTTATATTTTAAACTTTTTATTGTGACTTGAGTGAAGATTTAGAGACCAGATCATCAGTTTTACATTCAGCAAATCACAGACTTTGTTTCATCTCAATGATTGCAATCCCCTCCAAGTAACATCACTTATTCCAGTTCCTCCTTTGCTTTCTGCTTTCCATTCCTCTTTCCTTCCCAGCCCTTTGGAATTTTGTACTTGGGTAAATGCTGCCCTTTTGATCTTTAGCGGTTGACCATTCTATGGTGTATGGACCTCACTAGTGTTGTTGTCCTCCTTATATATTTATCTATTGCTTAAGCTGAAAGTTGAGCTACAAGGATGAGTTAGGCTCCAGACCTGAAGGGTGACCAAGGGCCACAGTCTCAGGGGGTCCACCGGTCTCTATCTGACCAGTGACCCTGGTCTTTTTTATGATTTTGAGTTTTGTTCCTCAGTTTCTTCCACTCTATCCAGGACCTTCCAATGTGATCCCTTTCAGAGTAGTTGGTAGTAGTAACCAGGAACCATCTAGTTCTTCTAGTCTCAGGTCATGGAGATTTGATATTCACATCATCCAACATTTTGTTTGAGAGGCATAGTATACACTGTGTTGAGGGGGGCAGTGTGAACAAGGTGAATAGAATTGAGTCCCTGGTGTGGCTCAGTATGATAAGCACTCAACCTCAAAGTTGGTTTGAACCGCAAAGTCAGTGATTCAAATTCACCAGTTGCTCCTCAGAAACCCTATACAGGGTCGCTATGAGTCAGAACTGACTCCATGGCACTTAGCAACAATAATCTTAAAATTAAAGAAAGTCTGTGTTAACAATGATGTTAAATGTTATCTAGGCCAACCACTCAATCTGTTTCTAAATTCCTACTATCATGTCCAACTAACTGGTGACCAAACCTGTATTTACACATCTCCTAGGACAGGGAACCCATTATATTTAGTAGCACCACCCAGTCTATTGTTGTAAACCCCCCAAGAGGCTTAAAGTAAAAGATTGGGATAACAAGAACCTGACTAACTCTAAAGCAATCTGGGTTTGGATCTCAGTCTTCCTCGCACTAGCTGTGAAATGGGCACAACAGACCCCTCAGTAGGGATAATCTACAAGAATATTGATCACTTGGCTCTGCTTGTCTACTCTCAACAAGAAACAGGTATGACTGTGAGTATAAGGCACAATAGGATTCTTTCTAGGGCTCCACATTAACTGTGTTAGAATCGGAGAAACCGTATTCCAGTGTGGTTCCCCTCATTAGGTCCAGGAACTCTGATTGCTCCTTTGCTTTGGGTAAAACCCTGACTGTGGCAGGCACTATGTTAGCTCATTAAATCCACAATTACTATTACTGTGATTTTGCAGGTGAGAGCCTGAGGACCACAAAGGTTAAACTCCCTAAGTGACTGAGGAGGTGCTAGGGTTGTTTTGGAGCCTGATGTGTTGGACTCCAGAGTCCACACTCTCCTATGGCTGAGGACAGCTGCAGGGGCCATGGATCGGCTAATCCAGTCACTGCCACAATCAGGGCCCCATTACCATGTGCCAAGCATGACCCTATCTCCACTTAATGGCAGCTGGATCTCTTCTCCCAGTTGACTCTGTTGAGGGCTTCTCTTCCTCTTGGCTTCCTCTTCTAGTTATTTCATCTGCTTCTCCACTTCATTCTCTGACCAAATGTAAGACAATTCCCTCTTGTCTGTGACCATGAGCAAACCAGGCACCTCCTGGGGCCACAGAGCTCATATCTTTCCAGTGAACGGACAAATTAGGTCAGTAGTTTCCAGACTTTGGGGGAATGTGGACAAGAAACATTTTCCCAAAATGAGGTGGTGGGGGTGGGGAGGGAGGAGTTGGGGTAGGGCTGCCAAGATTTTATTTTGCCAAGACTTTTCAAACAATTACCACTGACTAGTGCCATGAGCTTAAAAAAGGACATTTCACAAAAGTAGGAAGTGTATATCTCAGAATTTAAAAATAAAATCTGTTACAGACCATGCCCAACTCACATCGCCTGTGTTACAAAATCAAACCAAACCCATTGCTGTCTAGTAGATTCTGACTCAACTTCCCTTCATTTTATCAATAGGCAGAAAAGCCTCATGGGGTTGTATAGGGTATAAGTAAGCTCCAGCATCTGGGGACCTCTGGGAAGCCATTTAGAGAGACACTCCTGCCCCCAGTTCCCAAGTTCAGGTTTCCTGAAACCCTGAACCAGCCCGGAATCTGTCTGTAAGCTTGTACCAACCACCTTCATGCACCCAGTTCTACTTAGTCCATTTCCAACAAGAAAAGACATAGTCCCTGGCGTTAGGGACAAATCACACAAGAACACAAAACAACCAGGCAGTAATTGAGAACAAGAGCAATCAAGAGCATACCATGGACAACAGGAGTGTAATAAGGAGAGGTTCCCAGCAGACATCACCCCATAAATCACCCCAGCATCCCTGAGGGTCTAAGCCTATCACTGTGTCATCAAAGAAGCCTGTTTTCTCCTTAAAACTAGCAGTAACATTCTATTTTGTGTCTCCCATTTCCCACCACCCACCACTACAGTGGGTGTCCCTCCTTTTGAGGCCTCACAGGTTTCAGACATAATCCCACCACAGGACACTAGCTCTGGCTGTGCCACCTGCCTGGATTGCTCTTTCCCTGAATACTAATATGGCTCAATCCCTAACCTCCTTCAGTACTTTCTCCTGTACCACCTTCTCAATGATGCCAACCCATCCTATTTTATACTATCGACACCACTCTGCTTCCAATCCATCTCATCTTGTTATATTTTTCCTTTAATTTCCATAAGATAAATCAGTTCCTAAAGAGGAAGACCCCCAGAGAGATGGATTGGCAAAGTGGCAGCATCAATGGGCTCAAGAGTGGCAACAATATTGAGGTTGGCCCAGGATTAGGCAGTGCTTCGTTCTGCTGTGCATAAGGTCGGTGTGGGTCGGTACCAACTCGATGGCACCTAACAACAACAATGGTGTAATTGCTTCTTAGGGTCATTGTCCATTGCTTGTCACCACCAGCTAGACTATGTTGCTGTTGTCGGGGACTGACTCCTAGTGATACTGTGTACAACACAACAAAACACCATCCAGTCCTGTGCCATCTTCACAATCGTTGCTATGTTTGGACCACAGCATCAATCCAGAAGAGGTCTTCCTCTTTTTCACTGACCTTCTACTTTACTAAGCATGATGTCCTTCTCTAGGTCCCTCCCGATAACATGTCCAAAATGAATGAGAGAAATTCTCACCATCCTTGTTTCTAAGAAGCATTATGGCTGTACTATTCCAACATAGATTGGTTCATTCTTCTGGCAGTCCATGGTATATTCAATATTTCTCACCAACACCATAACTCAAAAGCATCCATCTTTCTTCAGTCTTCCTTATTAATTACCCACATGCATATGAGGTGACTGAAAATATCATGACTTGGGTCAGGGGCACCTTAGTCCTCAGAATGACATCTTAGCTTTTGAACACTTTAAAGAGGTCTTTTATAGCAGATTTGTCCAATGCAATATAGCCTTTGATTTCTTGACTGCTCCTTCCATGTGTGATGATTGTGTAACCAAGGAAAATGAAATCCTTGACCATTTCAATCTTTTCTCTGTTTCTCATGATGTTGCTTATTGGTCCAGTTGTGAGGATTTTTGTTTTCTTTATGTTGAGGTCTAATCCATACTGAAGACTGTGGTCACTTTTCTTCATCAGTAAGGGAATTAAGCCTTGTTCACTTTCAGCAAGCAAGTTTGTATCATCTGTATGTAGCAGGTTGTTGATGAGTCTTCCTCTGATACTGAAGCCACAATCTTCTTCATATAGGGCAGCTTC